AACACACCCCGAGTGCTACTGTTTGCCTCAGCCCACCGGCTGGCTGATCCTGCCTTCAGAGTGCCACCCAGGTCAGGTCTGGCAAATCCTCGCTGCTTCTGAACTGTCTCTCCCTCCCACTGCTGCTCAGTTCAACCTTTCAACTTTGTCTTTGATGTTCAGGGTTCCTGGATTGTTGTGTATTATCGATTCACTTGTTTTTTTGGGTCTTTGTTGTAAGAGGGACCACAGGAAGTGTCTGACTACTCTGCCGTCTTGGCCCTACCTCTTTTGTAATAGATTTTGATTTAAAGTTCATTTTATCTGATATCAGTATGGCCATCCTTGCTGTTTTATGTTTACTGGTTGCATGGAGTATTTGTCTTCATCCTTTTATTTTCAGTCTGTTTGTGTCCTTATTTTAAGGTGTGTTTCTTGTGGACAGCAAAAAGATGGATCATGTTTTTTTATCCATTCTGTCACTGCCTGACTTTTGCATGGGGATCTTTAGACCATTTACGTTTAAGGTTATTATTGAAAACTAAGTGTTTATCTCACTCATTTTGCTATTTGTTTTTTGAGTGTTTTGTTTTTTCTTTGTTTTTTTTTCTGATTTTTCTGCTTTTTGGTAGTGTTTAGCTGCTTTTTTGTCATGAACCTTTTTGCTTTCTTCCTTGGTTTGTTCTGAATGTTGTTTTCTTGGCGATTTTTTAGTGGTTACAACATATATTACATTACATAACTTACAATTGCAAAAATGTTGAATATATGAACAAGAATTAACATACAACTTTAATATAATAAACCCATTCTTGATATGCTCCTCCCTCCCCCATTTCTGTTGGTTTGTCTCCATTAACGTTAATATACAACCTATATTTGTTAAGTTTTCTTTGTGCTTATTTGTTACATACTTAGTGTTATATTGTTTGTGAGGTTTAATTATTGACTTTATTCCCTGAAAATGTCATATATTTGGTCCTTATGATTGCTTGTGTTATTGTGTTTTGTTAAGATGTCTTTTTTTCTATTATTTATTTAGTTAGTTATTTTTCCCATGTAGAGGTATGAGTATTTAATGCCCTTGCCTTTCCATTTGTAGTACAGCCTTGAGTAATACAAAGCTGGTCTGGTAGTGGCAAATTGCTAGAGCTTCTGTTTGTTTGAAAATGTCTTAATTTCCCCCTCATTTTTGAATGACAACTTTGCTGGGTAAAGAAATTCTTGGTTGGCAATTGTTTTTTGTTCAGTATTTTATGTATGTTGCTCCATTGTTTTTTTATCTCTAGAGTTTCTGGGAAGAAATCCTCACTGGTTCTTATGAAAGACCCTTGATGTGTTGTGTTTTTCTTTTGCTGCTTTCAAAATTCTTTCCTTGTCTTTGGTTTTCAAGAATCTTACTAGTGTATGGCACAGAGTTGATCTTTTTGTGTCTCTTCTGATTGGGGTTTTTGTAGGTTCCTGTATTTGCAGGCTTGGTTCTCTGTTCATTTCTGGGAAATTCTCTCTGATTAGCTTTTAGAAAACTGTTTCTATGCTTTTATTTTGTCATGGTGCTCTGGGACTCCAACAATTTTAATATTAGATTTCTTAATTGAATCCCATATTTTCTTTTGGGTTTGTTTGCTTTTCTTTGTTCTTTTTTTTTTTGCTTCTCTCGAGACTTGATAATTTCAATTATTTTGTGTTCTTGTTCGTTTATTCTTTCTTCTTTGTGTTCGACTTTATTGTTGAATGTTTCTTTTGCTTTTTCTAATTCAGTTACTTTGTTCTTCAGTTCCAGTAGTTCTATTTGGTTATTTATTTATGTTTTCATTTTTCTTGTTGAGTCTCTCATTTTGGTCCTCCACTTGTTTCCTGATCTCCACTAGTTTGTTTTCTATGTGCTTTTTGCTTTCTTTAAACGTACTTTGTATTGTAGTCTGAAACTTATAAATTCTTTGTGTTAGTCTGGTCTCAATAGGATAAATTTACTCTTCTTCATATTTCGCTTTTGACTGGTCTTTCTTTTCTTGTGATTTTGTGTGTTTTACTATTTTTTATTGAATGTGGGCTATTTGTTATCTTTTTATTTTTTACTTTAAATTTTGCATTCTGGTTTTCATGGAAAAATTTTCGAATTGGGGACCCTGGTGGATCAGAGGGCCAAGCGCCTGTCTGCCAACTGAAAGGCAGGGCTGTGAGCCTATGTGGAGGAAGGCTGCTGCATCTTTCCCCCACGGAGTGGCTGATGGGTTCCAATTTGCACTGCCTTAAAAAATTGAGCTACAGCTTCCTCAGATTAGCCCCCTTTGTTTGTTCCCTGTTTTCCTTGTTTGGGGTGTTGCTCAGCCCCATCCCAAAATGGCTGCAATGAGCACATGCTCCCACTGTTAGTGGGTAGGTTCTCCCAGCTTCTGTACCATCCCCACTCCTCCTCTCCCCCATTCTGGACTCACCCCAACTTTGCAACACCTCAGCTGCCGTCTGGAGTTCTGAGATCTTAGTCTGTGCTTGCTTTTATTTGTTGTTCAGTGGATTGGTTGCTGGGGGAGTAAATGGGAGCGTCCACTCACTTCATTGTCTTGTTCCGCCCCCTATCAGTTAACTTCTAATCATTATTTTAGAGTTGGGGAAACTGAGCCACAGAGAGGGTAAGCAGCTTGCCCAAGGTCACACAAGTAGTTAAGGGCAGAGCCAGATTCAAACCCAGACAGTCTGACTCCATAGCTCACACCTATCTAATTTTTTGTGCAAAAGCACTGTGTATTTTAGATCTATTTGTCAAAGTGTTTTATTTTGTTGACTGCAAACATAAGTTAGGTGGAAAGCACTAGCTAAAAATTAATTTTGCCAAAAGATTTCAACGTAAAAATATTGCTTTTTCTGTTTTGGAGAAGAGTTGATCCTGGTGTCATATGTCAGAGCCACATTCACTGTGATTTTTGTGTCCTGTGGAAGTATAAGATTATGAATTTGACTTACCAAGGTGTCTAGATGCAAGAATACATTCTTTAGAAATGTTTTTCACTTTACAGTCCAGTTACATATTTTCAGGGTAGTGTGTAAGTGATGTCGCTTTGCATGTGTTTTGCAAAATTAGCTGCTTTATCCATTAACCTTGCAAACATTAAAACAATTAGGGTTACAGCAAATCGTAACTTACGAAACACATGCTTTGTAGGATTTGCAAATGGTGAACATTGTGACAAATCATGCTTTTGGTACTCTTCGGTATAAAAAAGACTAGCTTGCACTAAAATTAATCATCTTAATTGCCCCACATTATGGTGTAAATGTAACACTTTCTGGGCCTGCTATTAAAACAAAAATAGTGGGCAAAACTAATTTGCCACTAGATGGAGCCCTGGTTATTTGGGTAGAAATAAACGCAAAATAGTCTGAACATTAAATCACAAAGTCATATCATGCTGGAGGGCCCCCAGTATTTGAGGCCCTCAGCTTTTAATTGAGAATGCATCTTTGTTCTTTGCCTGACCTGCAGAGTGACATCACTGCCTTTCTTCCTGTGCTCTGGCTTTGACATAAGCCAGATGGCCATGGCGATCAGTAGGCGCGTAGGCTGCCTGGTACAGCAGTTGATGAAACAGAATAGGAAGACGTTTTATGGTGAGCTGCGGGAGCACAGTGAGGCTACAGCTTTGCTAAGTAATTACATTTACTGTGCACACTTTATTCCTTTGCTAAGTAATTGCATTTACTGTGCACATTTTTATAGGTCACAAGGAAAAAATACATTTTTATTTATAGTGTTGTGAGGTATAGATCTTTGATCTTTTATTAGTCAGTAGTCTGCTCCAAAGGAGTGCTCTCTTTTCCCTGCTCTGCAGTCACTCGTGAAAATGACATGTTTATTTATGTTTAATGGTTCTTTCAGGCTGTGCATTGTGATACTTACCTTCCCTCTTCCTCCCTTTTGTCTCCAGTTAGTAACACAAAAATGTTTTACTTTTGTAGTGAGTTTAGTTTGGGAAGTCAGAGTTCAGACGTGTTAATACAAGCAGAGTTCTGTCAGATATACTCCAGAGTGATTTGGTAAAATATATTACCGTTTATTATGTGTTTGTTCTTCAAGGAGGTCAGAAGAGACCAGGAACAGACTTTTATTTTTTCAGGGGGAGTGTAGGAAATGAACAAGACATTAATTTGATATCAATTTTTGGGCATTTAGTGGTTAAACCACTTACTATGCTGATTTTCAATAAAATATCAGATATTAATATTAATTTAGTATTTTCCATTTTCATGTGAAGTTAATCTTTATCTTTACCAGTTGAAACAGTGTGTAGAACCTTTGTAAAAATTCTAAAATCTGAACTTTTCCCTGAAGTTGAACCCTCACATAATTTTGAGATTCTTCTACATGGTTCATTTTCAAAACCTTTAAAAATACATTTTCCCTTTTTAATGCAAGGCCATGAATATTATTCACAGGATTGATCTAGAAATTATAAATCATAAATTTGAATGAAAATTTATATTTGCCATGCTTTTTTCAAACTTAACACTGTTTCTAAAGTGAAGTCTTCCAGTTGTCCCTAGGTTATTTGACTTTCTATTAAAAAAAAAAATTCCAACAAAAAAATCTCTTAATCTGAGAATATTTTACAATCTTCAGGGAGAGAGATTTGCAGATAATTGCTGGAAGAAGTCAGCATGGTGTAAGGAAAGAACCCGGCTTTGCAATCAGATATAATAGAGTTTCCTAATCCTTTTTCCACTGGTTGTTTGCTTTGTGCCCTTGGACCTTTGAGCCTTGGTTTCCTCACATATATATTGGGGGATAAAACCTACCTCCTAGGTTTATTGTAAGAATAAACAAGACAGTGTGTATAATAGGCCCAAGACAGTGCCTGTCACATGGTAGGAGCTCAGTAAATGCTAATTCCTTTAAACTGTTTTAAACCTTGTATCCTTTGTCAACCTCTTGCAAACTGTGTTCACAGATTATACTGCTATTATGTGGTGTGTATTTTACTCAGAAGATATAAATAAGCCTGAGTTGAAAGTAAACTCAACGTCTGAAAAGTAGGCTTTTAAAATGTGTTAGCATTGTGTGTATGTGTGCAGTTCCAGATAAAATCATAGCTATCAACTGTGCAATGAATGTGTTTAACATTGTGATGTTTTAATTTGTTTTTGTTTTCTTTTTTCTCCCACTCAGCTCTTGTCCCTGTTCTTTGCCTCTCGTTTTGTTGGTGAAGATATCACAGTGATGTCTGCATTCAACCTGCTGCGTTTGGTGACAAAGAACCAGCCAGTAGCCCTGCGAGCCTGTGGGCTTCCCTCAGGTTGCTGCTTGTTGTACTGTACATAGTGAGGGCACTGGTAGGAGTGGGTATTTCTGCTGCAGGAAATGCTGCACCATAATGCTTTGCTAAATTTCATTTTCTTTTATTTGGGCCCTAATTTGAAGGTGGGAATTGGTTATAAATCCCGACTCTACTTTGAGTAACATTTATTTCCACCGTCTGTACAACCCTGGGAAACGTTGTCCAGTTTCCTTGCCCAGTATATAACTGTCACTAATATTTCATGGTATCTTTTTATTTTTTAATGCACATTACACATTTGAAAGTCATAATGTTCATAAGAGGCTGGAAGTCTTGATAAGAAGCTGCCTCAAATCACACAACATTGGACATCCATCTTATTAAAGAGTAGTGAAAATACTTTTCATTTCACATGTAGCTGTTTTTTTAGGAAAAAAAACCACAATCAAAATGGACAACCTTAGCATAATTGTTACTTGTTTATTGTAGCTAAAAATAAAATATGTTCAACTTCATAATACCCAAATAAACAGAACTAATGTTGCATGTTACTTGTTTCTTAAGTTAGAATCACCACACTTTTTAAAAATGTGGTTTTAAGTATTTAAACAAGTGAGGTGTGAAAGTCCAAGATTTAATTATGTGTGCTTCTATCATAACTTTAATATTTTAATTTTATGAAAATCACATTGGTCACATATTTTATTTCTGTGAACATTGTTATTAGTATTATTTATATTTTCTGTAAATGTACATATCTCTATTACCACATTAGAGGGAATTTAATTCCAACAAACATTTGTTGAATATCAGCTATGAGTGGCAGGCATTGTATTAAGCAGTGAGGATACAAAGATAAACAAGATAAAGCTACTTTCTTCAAGAAGTACAAGATGGAGATTAGAGCTATGCAAGGACCATTGCGCCATATGATGATAAGTCTAGACTGTAGGTGTTTATGCCTGGGATATTATGGAACTCCAAGTGAGGATAGTCCTAGCTCTTTGCTTAGTGGATGACGGTTTGGAGGAGAGGGAAGTCTCTGAACTTTAAGGAGGTTCCATAGAGGATGTAGTGCTTGAGCTGAATCTCAAACTATGAGCAGCAGTTAGCCAGGTGTCCAAGAAGTGGGAAGACATTCCTAACATATGAAGCAGTGTGGGCAAAACATGAAGGCCTGTAAGGGCCAAGTGTATTCAGAGAAATGCAGTTTATAAAATATGCCTAGCTTAAGTGGGTGAGGGCAAGAGAAGAGGTGAGGAAGGAAAGTTAGCCAAATCATAAAGTGCCTTGTATGATATTCAAAGGAATTTAAATCTTGGAAAGGGAATTAAGAGGGGTAGCATGACTTGATTTGCATTTTATAAAGATTGTGTTAGTATGGTGGAGGGTCAGTGCTAATTCCAGAAAGTTTCTATGGGAGGGGCTGGGATAGCAAACTGATTAGAAAGGGAGATAGGACATTTGTCTTGAAGCTCTGTTTGTATAGCAAACATACTATTTTTTTAAAAATAGATTGTATGTCTATTTGTGGTAACTTGAGGGGCTAATGAAGTTCAATGCATGGGGGCTTTAGCCATTCTTCTCAACAGCCCTCACGTCCCCCCACCCCAAGCTATGCCCCTGCAGTGACCTCATAGAGTATATATTGGTGAAATTTGAGGCTAGCCAGTGGCTGTTGCAGTCGGTTTGGAAAGAAGGGCATGGATTAGAGAGAGATTCATGCTGTAGAACGGACAGGGTTTATCTGTTGAATTGTATATGAGCTTGAGGGAGAACCTAAACCAGTATAGTCCCTGTGCCATGTTGAACTGTTTCGTAGCTACATACTACATGTAACAATTGGAGTATGAAGGTTACTTAGTTTATACATAACCATGTTTTCCACCGGAATAAACCCCAGTGTGTGAAAGCACCCAGCATAGTTCTTGTAACATGGCTTACTATAGGTTACATGGTTCTTGTAACATTCTACACACTGAGCAGGTTGTTTACAGAAACAATTTATTAATTAATAGTTGATTCCTTGAGATATGACAATCATAGAATTAAAGGGTCTTATAATGAATTAGTTTTGATTGAAAAATATGTATCTTTAACATTGTGTTATCAAAATGATTAAAAGATAAATTCAGCAACACTTATAATTTAAAAGAAGTAACCCTTATGGTACAGTTCTTATGCACACAGATTCTAGAGTTAGACTGCCTAGGTTTGAATTCTGGCATTGTCACTTACTACACCCTGGTGGCATAGAGGTTAAGAGCTCAGCTGCTAACCCAAAGGTTGGCAGTTCAAATCCACCAGTTGCTCCTTGGAAACCCTGTGGGGCAGTTCTGCTCTGTCCTACAGGGTCGCTATTAGTCAGAACCACCTCAACGACACCTAACAACAACAAAGCTATGTGCCTTGTCTTCCTTGTATGTAAAGTGGGGATAATAGTAGTACCCACCTGAAAGGGTTACTGTGAGAATTCAATAGATTAGGATGTGAAAAGTACTTAGAACAGTGACTGGCATATACTAAGCCACTGTATCTGTATATCTATACATATAAATACACATACACACACACATATATGTATTTTTTCTACTACTGTGGACTTTATTTATTTAGCAGTTCACCTGCTTGATTGGCAGCCTCAGGGAGAGTGGGACAGGGATGTTGCAGCAAATTCCTGTCAACTCTCTGAGGAAATGACAGTAGACTCTTTTAACATTTAGACATGTTCCATCTTTCATTTAACTATTTTTACTTTAATAGAATCCATAAATGCACTTTATGTTTCAGAAATAACCATCTCAATCTGTTGTTTTGATCTCTTTATTATACATCCTGTTGAACCAGAGTTCAAGTCCTAAAAATATACAACACATTTATTTTTACTACCCAGTACTGATGAAAGTCCAGAGAAACTCTCTTTCTTTCTTTTTAAAAATAATATTTTATTGTGTTTTGGTGAGAGTTTACACAACAAATCGTTCAGTGACATTGGTTACATTTTTCACGATGTGTCAACGTTCTCATTAATTCCATTCTGGTTGTTCCGTTTCCAGTAATCTAGTTTCCCTGCTCCCTTACCTTCTCATCTTTGCTTTAGGGTAATTGTTGACCATTTGGTACTTCCTAGCTTTGTAACTTTGTGATTGTAAACCTATTTTTAATTTGATAAATAGATTGGATAGAACAATATTAAATAATTTCTTAACCATTTAAGTACCATTTACTTTTTAAGTATTGTGAAAGCCAGTCTTCCAGTGTCTACGTATTTTAAAACTTGAATATTAGCAAAATCTTTTTGTTCATTTCTTGAAGAAGATTTTACTCTTAAACATATAGGAATGTTGAAGAAATTGTTATGTTTAATAATAATGAAACTACATTCTGAAGAATAAAAATGAAATTCAAATGGGAATTCTGCTCCTTATTACTTTGTGCAAGTAATAGGAAGGAAAAGGCCAAAATTAGAGATTTAGGAAATTAGATAAAAGTTTGAAGTTTGCTTTAATTTACTGTTCCCTGGTTAAAACTCATTACAACAGAAATCTCGGGTAAATCAAAAAGATTTCTGCTCCCTAGCCAGTGTTCTAATTTTGAGTATTATTCAATACAAAATAATTCTAGAACCAAAAAATAATTGGAACAGGCTCTTAAAGTTGATTATAACTGGATCGACCTGCATGAAGGCCCATATCCCAGAAGAGTGAGCTATCATTTTTTAGCTTTGACTTCCTTTATTTCTTATTTTTTAATAAAACATATTTTTAATTTAGAGCTTATTAAGTGCATCTGAGTTATGGTTCACTTATGTTTGTAATTAAGGGTATTTTTCCTTGTCTCAGAATTACTTCTTAATTCCTATAATATTTTTTTTTGCATATTAAGAAGAGCACTGAATTAAGTCAAAACTAACCACACTTCTGTCTAACTTGTGTGACCTTGAACACGTCAGTAAATCTCTTAGACCTCAGTTGCTTCACCTTTAAAATTAGGAATTTAAATTAGATAACCAATTCTGAAATTCTGTAATCTTACAGACTTTCATTTGTTTTTACTTTTGGCTTTTGGTTAATCAAATCTTAAAATTCGGTATTAATTAATGGCTGGGAACTTGCAGAAAAATCTGCTAGGTTGTGGTGGGAGGACATAAATATTTTCCATGTTTGAACATTAGAATTCCTTCCCTCTAAAACAAGACTGAAGCATTATCTGAGGAGGGATTAGGGAGCATAATTTTATACATAGTTTTAATGGTAGATAAAAATTAGGTCTAATTATAGCTTAGACTAGATATCATGGTAGCTTTCAGCCAAGTAAGGGTGTTTGTCTAAATAGTACTAATTATAGTGATAAATTATACTTTTCTCTAACATCATACAGATAATATATGGTTGTGACTTTCTTGACTTTAATGGCATATTTGTCTCGTGTGAGACATATGGCTGTTATGCAGTTTGTAAAGATATTCTAATATACCATAATATTCTGATACAGAAATTAGAAATCCTTAAGACAGATATTTAGAAATGTTCAAAAGTCCTTAGGGTATCATCCATATAACTAGAACTGTATGTTGGGGCTTGGCTCCAGAGCTTTGCACAGTGCCTGGTACTTAATAAATATTTGTTAAATGAATGAATAAACATTTGGAAAGTTTACATGTAGGTGAAGTGATAGCTATGACAGAGTGCAAATTTATTAGAGAATTTTTTACATGGGAAAATTAAAAGTAAAGTTCACAGTTTGATTGTCTTTTGAATATTGGTAAAGCAAATTTATCTTTTCTTTATTGCATTAATAGAATAATATGTCTTAGGTATAAATTGCATTGCTGTTAAATAAATAGCAAAAAATGGTTACACAGATTCAATGTATATTTTCCAGAATTGCATTTACTTTTTCACTCAAACAAATTGAGTTTAGGTGATTATACTTACCATGAAGATTAAGAACTTTCTGGCTCTTTTGATCATTTCCTTAGAGCAAATTAATATTACTTGTTGTAATTTAAATCCCTC